AGTACATAAAATGCAGTAAATTTAAAACGGGACATAACATGCCAGTCGATACCTTTATTTAAATAAACAGTTTACCTTAACACTGCATTGTTATATACCTGTGGTGACTTGTTTATGTGGGTATATGACTTTCACTGAAATTGTCATAAAATGAAATAAATATTTGTTTTAGTTCAAGTGAAACTAATGTTTTATAGTACATACTGCTTTTACTTTTTTCGGTGTAGAATTTCCAATCCTTCAGTAATGAAATGCGGAAAGAAATTGTATGATTTGACAGAATGTTTTGTTTCAGGATAAGGGACAACTTTTGTTTGAGGATAAATGGCCAGCTGTAAGACCAATTATCCTTCAATTATTGCAGCAGGAGCCAGTAATGCAGACTGAATGGCAAGAACTCATTTATTCTGTACATTTGGTGTGCCTGTGGGATGAGAAGGGACCACCAAAAGTTAAAGATTCGCTGAAGAATGACAATGGATTTTATCAAAAAAGCTCAACAGGTGATAAATAATATGCTAACAGCAGAACATGTCATTCACTGTGTGTGAAATATTTTTGAATAATCAGAAAGCAGTTAAGCATATATATTGTTTTCTGTCTTTTCATTTCAGTTTTATAATTGTGTTCTTTCCAGCGAGTACTGTCACATCAGGAGGATCAAGCACTTCTTAAGGCTTATATTGCAGAATGGAGGAAGTTCTTCATACAGTGTAACTACTTACCAACTCCCTTCAGACAGCTGGAAACATCTCTCGCAGGAAAGACCATCTCTGTTGAAAAGAAAGCTCAAAAAGGTGAAAGTATAGTAAGATAAGTATGGATAATGATTTGACTGTTGCCTTGTAGTATGTTTTGTTGTTCATACATTCCATACTGAAATACTTGCAGTTCACATTCTTCAACAAGGAGATAGGAAAATAAACACTGCATATAAAATGAGTATGTATAGTGTCTAAATGACATTCAGATTGTCCTTAGATCGAAACTCAAGATCAGTATTTTGACAGATGGCTTACCAGTTTCTTGTTTTTAATGTTTGTAAAGTACTACCATGCCTTTTTCTAGTGACAAAGAGATGTTACTTTGGTGATGGAGGCAACAAGGACCTCTGGAATGTTGGTAAACTTCTACCACACCACGTGCAACCCAGAAGGCAGGCATCTTCACTAATTAAAGTGGTTTTTAAGTGTCATAAAATTATATGAATTTATTGCATATATTTTCAAAAATTTACAATATAAGGTAAAAATGTTATATCTGATAACATTCTAGTTGTTTTTATGGTCTTTATTGGGTATACATTTCCTGAGAAAAGCAGGCAATTACATTTATATAAGAACATTATCATGAGAGACAACTACATTATTAGAAAGGTTTTTCTTTTCTATATCATCCAGGTGCAATACATGTCTTGAAAGAGTTTGTTGTGTTGAATGTATAGGGAAACTAAAATAAAGGAGAGGTTTATATTTTAAATTGATAAAATTCAATTTTACAATGACAGAGTACTGAAACATTTCTTCAGTGTTTCAGGTTATATCCCAGAATTAATTGTAATTATCATATTTTTGAAGAGATTAGTTTGATTTTTATAGAAATAGCACACACAGAGAAGTTAAGTAAGTGTTCATGTTTCATCACCAGAATTTAGGGCTAAATTTCAGGTACTGTGGCATGATATGAAACACAAGTTACTTTCAAGATTAAATTAAGAGCAGATTGAATTCAGGGGAATGTTTGCTTCACTCTTTTGTCTTCCTGCATCCAATCTGAAATCCTAAGATTAATGTGTAAAAGCTATAATTTTACTTTTCTTTTTTGTGGATGTGAAATCTGGTCTCCCAACCTAATGGAAGACCATAGATGAAGGCGTTTGGAAAGAAAGTCATGGGGAGAATACTTGTACCTAAAGGGTAGGAAGGAGCAAGAGGGTTGAAAGTGTTATATAATCAGGTGCCTTGTAATTTGTGCTCTTCACCAAATATTATTAGGATAGTCAAATAAGAGACGATTAAATTAGCAGGAAGTAGCGTGTGTGTGAAGGATGTGAAATGCATACACAGTTCTAGCCAGCAAAGTGCAGGGAAGGGACCACATGGTAGACCTAAACATAGGTGGTAAGATAATAGTAAAATGGATCTTCAAGGAATAGGGTGTAAACTGGATTTTCTTGACTGAGGATCATGTAAAATTACAAGCTGTTATAAACACAGTAATAAACCTTATCATTCCACAAGAAGCGAGCAGATTCTTGATGCTGCATTGAGAAGGTACATAGTTGAACAGATTATTTTTTACTGCTGTAATTGTTATATTCTTGTTTTAGTTGATGTTGGACAGCTGGAATCAAAGCATATTTTGTGACATTAAGCAGCGATTGCAGGACTCTGTCATGAAGTTGGTGCATGCAGAGAATGGAGAAGCGTTTGATTCACAGTTGGTTATTGGAGTCAGGGAATCTTATGGTAATTAATAGTGGTTTTAAACATTTATACTTTTTGATAAATGGTATTGCTCCTTAAAGGCAGCATGGTTTGATAAATATTTTAGTGCATATATGGGCACTTAAGGGTGGGCTTGTAACTCTGGGAGCTTTTGTGGATATTGTTTATGCATTTGACAGTAGCACCTCCTGAGTTCATAGCTAAGAGCATAGGGTGGAGTGAGGTGTGGTCATATGTAGTGATGAAAATAAACCTTTAAGGAACATTTATATGTGATGCAGATTTTCCTAACATTATTAAAATTATAAGGAGTGCATGTTTCTTCTTCTTCTTCCTCCCCACTGCCAGCAATAAGAAAGAAAGCTTGTATGGAAGCAACGGAAGCATTCTATAAAATGAAAGCACCTCAGTATCTTCAAACAAATGGTGTTTAAAAGTACATGAAATATGCTGATACCAAACTTAGGGAAGAAGAGTAGCGTGCACAGAAGTATCTTGAATCATGTAGTGGATCAGTGCAAGTTGTAAGTACATTACGCAATTTACATGAAGATCAATGATTATTGGATATGTGGTACACAATATCAATATACTGTTGTGATAGAATTTTTGTTACGCATTTTCAGCTGTCTGATTAACAGTATCAAAATGTGTAGGCAGCATTCCACAAGTTGAGTTTGTCTGTGTTCTTATAGAAGGTGTGGTGATAAGGAATAGATTTATGTAATGTATTAATACTTTTATGTTGTCTCTGAATATGGAGAAGGTGGCAGTTTCTGAAATTAATGTAACTTGCATAATTTGTATAGTTCTACTTTTAGACAAATCTCAGAAAAAATAAAAATAAATGCCAGGTTTTTACTTCTTTTAGCCTCAAATTGTTGGTTAAATAGACATGGATTTAAGTACTTTATCTAATTTGTGCCTACATATACTGCCTGCCCCTGCAGACACATGTCAAATCTTCTGAAGTAGTAGACAAAGCATTTACACTATATTGGTTATTCATTACATATTGTTTTTACAGTATTGCAAAGTATGTTAAGTAAATAATTTTTGAGGATGTGTTGCACTCATTTATAATACTTCAGTGTAGATGTACAACATAACAACTAGTAGCTTAAGGTAGTATATTTGCGGAAACGTATTTCAGATAGCTGTGGAAAGGAAGTTGTCTTTCAGTTCAGGTGTTTTGATTTATTTAACAGTTCTTTAAATTGCTTAGATTATATTAATGCCAAATTATAATACATAATAAAATGTATACTTTTCAAGAGAATATCCTTGGGCATTAATAGGTTAAAGGTTAAACATGCCAGAAAGTAGAAAAGGGAGCGAAAGTACATCCTTGTCAGACACTGATTCTATAACATGTGAAGTATTGTATTTTATCTTGTCAAGGAAATAACTTTTTCCTGTTTTTAAATTCTGTATTATGCAAAGGCTCATGCTGTAACAATTTACATAATTATTCTCCACCAATCTCAGAAACATATATTTGTGATTTTGTACTGTTGTCTGCGAGTCACTGTGGTGCTGTTCTTGCGTTTGTCGTTGTGTGACACAAATAGCCCCCCGTACTGTCTTCATACGACTCACCACTGCTTCCAGCATTGGACCACGCTGTTCTTCATTCAGAAGATGCACCTATGGATTAAGAAAGGCAAGTATGTCAAACATTACAGTTATTTTACTATTCACAAATTCTTATCAAATGTAAACAAAGTAGTGATACATGAGCAGATATGCTTCAAACCTATTCCCTGAATTAACATGTACTTAGCCTAAATGCTGACATGTAAGTAATACAAACCTTTTGTTATGGTGTGAATACATGTTCCACGTCATAACTTCCTACCTCATTGATGAGGAATAATTTGACGATCTGAACTATTCCCTTGTTGACCTTCCACTTTCTGGTGAGGGAGTCCCATTTCTCTGGTGTAGTTAGGATCAAGTGGTAAGTTGAGAGACTAGATAGATCATATTCGTCTGTGTCGCCTGTATGTTCTTTGCACTTCAAACCAAGAGAAGGCCTCCAGTCTTGGAATCTCTCTGAAGACAAGGCCTTCACAGGAGCCACTGTGATGAGTACAATGACAGTAAACTATCAGAATATATTTACATGATTATGGTTCCATTTGAGTAATGATTTTGTTGCTGTGTTAAGTTCTGTGGTAGGATTTGATATGAGTCAGCTGTGATGTTGCATTACAAAAAATGTACATGAAGGTATTTGTTGATCTGTGCAACAGCTGTGTTTCAATGAAAGTTGCAGAGGATAAAATCACATAAATTTAGAAAAGAAAGTTAGTTTAATTCAGTTTCAGATGTATTGCTGCCAACAAACTCAGAAATGTGTCAGTTATTTGTGATAAACCATGCCCTTTTCCTATGACTCCTAAATTATGTCGATTGTATTGTATTCTCATGCTCAAATTTACTAAAGGGCATAGTGGTTTCTCATCCATTTTGTCTGTCTTACTGTTCATTCGTTCCATAGTCTTTCATCCAACATCGCATCATAAGCAGGTTATAACACTGTTAAAAACATTCTGCAACTGCTTGTGTCTGCTGCCATTCTTGAATTTCAGAATGCACATTTTGAGTCCATATCAGACATTCCTGATGAAAGTACACACATCAAATTTCCATTCACATTAAAACAAAGGGAAAGAAACATTTGTTACTCAGTACTACAAACAGTTACTCTGAGCCATCACATTTTGACAATAACATACATTTCTTTTAGGTTGGACTATGATTAATGTTTATATTATATACATTTTATGTTGTTTTTTTAATCTTCAGGGCAGTTTCTTCATTATTGTGTATTTAATGTATATACATGTGGAGAATTATAATACAATTTGTGTGTTGTAATTCGTATTTACATCCAGTTTGTGGTTAAGAAGTGATGGTATAATTAGCTCATGTTGCTAATGATAATGATACTATATACAATTTTGTATTCTCCTCTACATTCAACATCTTTTAATTTTATTAGCAATCTGATGACTGCCAGTTCAAAAATAACTGTTTTCCCTGACCCAGTAGGAGCTGAAACTACTGTTGATGCATCTGTAAAATATAAATTAGATTTGTTACTTTCGTCTAGTTACATTTTGACATTATATCATAAAATTGCGAAATTTTATGCTTAAGAATGTTGAAAGGTGTGATTATTGTTCACACCTGAAAACAGAAAGTCATCCAGAACTTTTGACTGTATTGCATTAAAACATGGGTATGAGGCAAAAATATGTTGATATTGTCTAGCTGTGACAAATTAAAGATCTTAATATAAAATTATATTTTTGTGGCAGCTAATAAGTCTACAGTTACATGAGTGGCAGATTTCCATCCATCCTGAAGACTCTTCAGGATGGAGACAGTTGATGCATTCTGTTCAAGATATGGAAAATAAGTATCACCACTAGTTATAATGACGGTAATTTTCGCAATTACGGGCAAGAGTGTCCTTCAATTGTTTTGTTTCAAATGTAGGCCTCTGTTTGCATTTGTCTACCATACGTGGTTAAAGTTCACTGCAACAATATGCCGTCACTGCCGTTTGCGACCTGGTGTTTTGCAGTCTCTGTAAGAAACATGCTGTCCCTTTATACGCCGTGTACGCGTTTGGGGAGAGAGAACACATAGCTCCTACTCACTCTTAACCTCGGGACTAACTAGGGTGAGCGGTCAGCGTCACGCCCCGGCCTGGTTAACCCCGGGAAATGGAACCGGTATCTATTGGACAGGGTGCTGTGTGGGCCCCAAAGCCGGCCTGGACGCTGAAGCCAGAATCATAATATTACTGCTTATAATATTATATGACTAATAGTGCACAGCATTTACTACGGGGAAATGCGACAGTTTTTTGCAAAATTATCTTGTGGAACTGAAGGCACTTTTCAGGTTTGTGACCTTAGTTAAACAAAGCGTTTCCAAGAAACAATCAGAATTTGCCTTAGTTCAATTATTCTCTCGTGCTTACTATCTGAACAACAGAAAACATCGTTGTCGGGACTCAAACAAAGGACACATTTTTTGGGTTGTAGTCTTTAGTTTTGAATCTCTTTGATTTGGCGCCGTTCTTTATACCTGCTTAATTTCCGAGTTACACGAACCGTCCACACCGGAAATGGACTCATGACACGTTTCCGGAAATTTCGATCATTCTGTGCTCTTCCTGGTCTCAAGGAATAAAAATGCTAAGTTTAGTGTAAACTACTAAAAAAATAAACCGGTAATTTCAACTATATACACAATAACTATGCACACAATAATATACGAAATGAATTACTATTACAATTTTTGGAATCTACATTTGACATTCTATGATTTGCTACGTTAGTGCCGCGTAGTGGGAATTCGGACAACTTGCAGGCGGTTGGCTGGGTGTGGTTTGTGTGTGTATTCTCTGCAGTGGATATCAAACAGAGGTTAGTGTGTTCAAACTCTTTTGAGATATGAAATTCGCTTCGTCAGATGTATAACTGTTAGGTCTGATTTAAAGTGTGTCGTTACATGTTTTGTAATTCTTGAGTAAAACGTAAACCGGGGGTAGGCGAATTCTGCAGGATGGCGTCGTTTTATGTAGTCTCTTAGATTCGTATTTGATGCAGCGTCAGTAAATACACGTCTCCCCACCCGTGGATTTTTGTCTTATTTTTATTTGCATTTTTTGGCTATTTGTTGAAGTTTATAAATATAAATAAGCGAACTTCATACGCAAATGTACTACCATTGTCTAAGCGATGTGTGCATAACATGTGGCCTTAGGGGCGATGAGATGAACAGCGCTCGTGGCCTTGAAAAAATAAACTTTATAATAAATTCTGACGTTATTTTTAAATAAGGAAAAGTGAAACTGCAACTTTTCTTTGCCTCTTTTCATTATTTTTAAATTTATATCCTCCTTTTGATAACACGTTTAATATTAATTATTGACTTTTTACTGGAATGTAACAGAGTTATAACACAGAGCAATTCAAAAATGTTAGCCATGCATGCCATAACGATCGCCCGTCTATTCATTTCTTATTATTGTTGTCAAGAACATATATCAGAATTACTTAGTGTGACTGCAGTAATGTTTCTCTTTTGCTAGTTAATTAAATCACTTTACGCTTTGTTAACATTCAAATTTTTTTGATACCTTGTCTGGTAGAAGTTTATCGACGTTTCGGAGGTCCTTACTGCCTCCTTCATCAGGGCGATGACCTCACATTTATTTTAAAATTGTACAGGTTGATTGTGACATTAGTGTTTTATTTGCTGTTAGTGGAACATATCATTATAATTTGAACTGTTCATCAAATATTATTAATGCGATCAGATGAAGGAAGGTTAGAGGGACTGAGCATGCAGCATGCATGGGGTAAATGAAATTAATGCAAGATGAAAGCCTGGTAGATCAAAACGTAGATGTTGGGACGTGTATGAATCGATGCTAAGGAAGTGTATATGATCCATTAGGGGACCCTTGGGAACTTGTATTTTTCTTTTTTCATTTTCTGTAGCCTGCAGTAAGCGTTTGCTTCTATAAATTAAAGTAAAAGATAACTCTCGTCCAAGTACAGTGTGCTCGGCTTTCTTAATTGTTAGAGGTAGAATAGATATCATTTTGAAATGGAAGCTGGCATTGCCAACAGCCATTTGGTTAATTGTTGTAGCTGGGAAAGGGGAACATTCTTGTATTTGCAGAAGGCCTAATTAAGAGGTAGTATAGTGTACAGCCGCCACGGTGGTCTAGCGGTCAGAACACTAGCCTTGTAAGCCTGGGGTCCCGGGTTCAATTCCCAGTGGTGCTCAAATTTATAACTTGTGTTGGGCAAGGCCGTGGTCTAGGCATCGCGGAGTTTTCCTCCGGGGGCTTCCCCGGTTTCTCCGTGGCATCCCAACAATTACTCCA